CTCTCTCTCTTCCTCCCCCCTCTCCCCCCCTCCCCTCCTAAATGTAAAGTGCACCACTTTTGTAACCTTTTGTCTCTTAAATAATAATTCATTGAGGAATGCTGAAAAAGTCGTAACTAATGCGTGGATAGGTGTATCAATATCGGTCGTTTGGGATATCGCGCTATAACGGAAAGGGAAATATCAAGCTGGCTAGCAGCAAATTAAGCTCGCTAATTTGAAAAGGATGAGATGGGCAATCCTTAAACGGTAGAAAGAAAAATCGTGTTTTTAAGCGACTTCCATGTGGTATGATAGTATGGTTTCTAGCCTGTATAGTTTTGGAAACCTTTTTTTTTTTCCCCCATCTAATACACACAACCACGTGGATCAGCCAACCTCCCCCATTTTAGGTGACTTTCTTTCGCTATTCCTAACCCTGTCCCCAGCCTGAGGGTGAGTTTGATAATCGCTTTATCTAGGCCTCATTTCATTTCAATAATCAGAGCACGGTTTCGACTTGTAGTACAGGCATCGTCCATTCCAAAGAGCGTGGTTACAAATAAAATGTTTAAAGTTGAATCAAACGTTTGCGAAACTAACGGGATATAAGCTACCCTACTTTACGCTAACTTTTGCAGTTTCTTATTTAGCGATGGATTATCGGTAAAGATGGATCGCTTAGTTTGGATTTCCTTGTGCTCGGTTCAAGCTGCAAGATAACCTTACACTACACAATGACTCTTTAATCTGATTTCAGTACGGAAAAACAGTATTACCTTTCAACTGGGCATAGTTCAACTACATTTGTTCTTGTAGGATACATGATTGTCTTCTGCTCAATGACATGAGTTTACCACCAGCATTAAGAGATATGGGTATTCAAAGTGAAAGCTCATCCGCTTTCAAATAACGAAAAAGAAAACACAAAACCGAAAACAAAAACAAACGAACAAAAATTACTTCAAAGATTAGGGTGTAATCTTCACCACCTAAAGTTTCATGGTTTATTATTATCATAGTGATTTACTGTTTACCAACACAACTTAAGTAAAGCGCCCCTCTATTGGTCAATTCAGCGTCTACTATTTGCTCATGGGTGACCGCTGACGATGCCTTCCGTATGAGCAGGCGCGCTGATGTGGCGCGACATAGCGCAAACGTTCAAAGTCGAAAAATTAAAATGCTGCTAATTCACGTGTTTTTAGACTTTACTTCGATTTCCTTGTGATACTGAAAAATTGGAACTCTACGATACGTCCCATATTATTCCAAAGCTTGACTCCTTTCAAGTTTTTGTCAAGAACTACCCACGTTAAACTGAAAAAGCTGTGTTATACAACAAAAGAGTATACGACAGGATCCGTGCGGAATAGCGTTACAGTTCCCAAACAGCCTGGCAAGCTGATGAAATTACTCCATTACCCATTGAGGAAGAAACTGTGCCATTCGTGTCTGTAGAATGTTTGAAGACATAAGCAGCCATAAGTCTGAAATTTTGGTACCCACGAATACGACTGAAGGATCCAAAGGCATATTTAGCGACAACCATGCTAAAAAACTGATTGATTTGTTTCAAGACATGATTCAAGGAGCGCCTATTTCTAAGCCTGCAATTTTGAAGCGATTGGCAAACGAAGAACTGGATAAGACGCTTTTTAAGGATTATACGGTAACTCAAATCGTAAGCAGACTCAAGTAAGCCAACAAACGTTTGTCAGTTACTCCCTTCTCACCTCTCCATGAAGCGTTACGTTATAAACCGCTTTTTAAGGGCGTGCGCCATCCGGACATCTACATTACATTGTGAGGGAAACGTTCGGTTGTGAGTTTTCAAGAAAGTCAGACTGTTTTATTCTTAGTTGTCGAGCCCACAAGACTAAAACATTGGTAAACTTGTCGTGTTTGGTTTGGTAACGCGTTAAGTTTGTCAGTTACTGACTACCCACTCGACCGCGTGCAGCGTTACATTATTTCAATTCAAATAATAGTTTCGAATATTTAGTTTGTATTTGGTTTAAATAAAATATCTTCAGTAGGAAGACAAATTTCCTTTCTTCCCTTTCTGCATTTGCTGTAAAAAGATGGTGTAGCCAGTAGTGTCAATGAAGTGGGCGTACCGAAGAGAAAACGAGATCAATAGAAATGAACTTTAATATTATCTCGACGACTTGAAATAGCGAAAGGGGTTTCATTTCATAATAGGCAACCGTCCCTGTCTAGGAATAATGATATGGGACTCGTGAAGTAATCGATAAGCCTTATGCATGATGACGTCATGTACGTAAAATTCACCCCTAAGCCTCATTAACGCAATATATTTGTTGAGCATAAAGATGATTTGCTGCTCTTGCAAGCAAAACCGTGTAAAAAAGGCCGTCATTTTGTTGTATGTGCGTGTGGTAAACGACCCGTAACATTTTGCCTCGTAAGGTTGCACAATGCATACTGAGAAGTTCTTTTCTGGCTATGAAATCTGCAGACAATAGTTTTGCTTTACTACATGGGTTCATTTTGCTTTCAGCGATAAAATATATCATGCAATGTAGTGTCGTGGAATATCTGACAACGTTAATACATTCACATATTTCTGATAAGACGGGAACAATGCATTTCCTTTCCTCTGAAGTATGTGTTTAGGAAAGTGTTTCACTTGTTATTTGTAGTGAAAACACACTTTTTCAGAAATACGGCGTCACCGAGGTGGCGCAAAAGTAACACAAGTGCCACAAAAGTTTTACAAGTGCCACAAAAGTTACATTAGTGCCACAAAGTTCCAGGAGTGCCAGGTTACAGTAGTACCATGAGTTAAGCAAGTGCCACAAAAGTTACAGAAGTGCCATTTTAGGTTACATAAGTGCCAAATGACGTTACAAAAGTGCCTTTACATCTAGCCCCTCCCCCCCCCTCTCTCTCTCTCTCTCTCTCTCTCTCTCTCCCTCTCTCTCTCCGTAGAAGAAAATTAGGGCACTTTCGTGACTTTTCCCTCTTTTGATGATAGATCAACTGTTTTTGTGTGGTAACTTTTGACAACCCCTATGACAAAGCTTGATGACCCAACCTGTCTGCATGCGAGCAATTCACAAATACCATCTAATCCTCAATGAAACAGCTCGTTATTTGTGCTTGTGAGGTCACGTAAGTGCCCTGTGTCGTGGTATCGACCAATTTAGAAGCTATAAATCTATTTTTTTCGCCAAACTGAAGCTATTGACTTACCATTTGTGCGCCACTCAATTCCCTTGGCCACCACAACCTTTTAAGTCTGAGTTATCAAGACTTTAAAAAATCTGCCGTGTATGTGTTTTACTTTTCAAGTCGATGAAAGGTTTCAGAATGCGAAAAAGGCCCTTTTTGCGTTTTGTAAGTTTGGACAATAAAATTCGCAACTTAACTTTTATCAATTTCACTCAAAATTATACTGTAGGTAGAACAATCTTTTGACAATAAAACAAAGCAAACTTGAGTGTAGAATCACGATCCGTTATTTTGTTATGATGATTTAAAGTAACCAATGTCGGAAATGGCAAATGTCACGAAAGTTTCCTATTTGCTAAATGTGACAAATTATTATTTCAGCGTATTTTTCGGAGAGGCAGGAATGATCAGTACTATCGAATTGTACAATAGTGCAATAGCAACGCGCTATTCAAGTTGCAGATTTGTTTGTTGCAATCAAAATGGATCAGTGCCGAAAATATGGTGAATTACGACCTTGATGCGCTTTGCGTATAGGGGTATATGGACAGGTGATTGAAAACTTCTACTGCGGAACTCATTGTATTGCCTGGTTATTACAGAAATCTTCCTTCAAGAAAAGTACTATTATAATTAAGATCATGACTACTAGAGATCTCAACTTTAAAAGCTGGTACGCTCCTTAATTTTGGAGGGGACACACGCCCGATGTAGAAATGTCGCTTGGTCAAACAAGAATCGATTGATCTAGATCCTACATTTCCCCCTTCAGACAAGGGGGAATATGTAGGTGCTTGCTTAGATCTCAGACTGGTGAACTATGAACAACAAAACTAATTGTAATGTACTGCCCAAACTAATAAGGATATTCGCGCTATTCGTCATAAATGTGTCAAACAATTCTCTAAACAAGCGCTGGCCTTATCGACCAACTTTGTTATCAGGATAGTCTTAATCTTACGTTTCCAATATATGTCTTATTATGAATCATTGCAACTAATGACATGCAGAATGTTCTGATTCAGATTACTATAACTCGGTTTTAGAGACGACGGTTTTATTCGAGCCTGTCCAGACGATATTTAGTAATCGGGCCTTGAAACTGTATGGAACAATCCGCCACGGTAAAAAGAAAAAAAAACGTCATCTAAGCGACTTATGTTGTTTCTCTCTCAAGAAAGTACAACACCCTAATACCTCTCTATCAACTCCCTTCCCTAATAAGCCCACCGTTTGGAAGTTGGTTTTTGTAACAGTCTCCCCCATCTCTAATAAGACCCCTCCCATTTTTTCCATGCGGCCCAGTTGGTTTGTTTTTAAACAAATATCCCCTGAAACAAATAAAACCGTTTGCTACCCTGTATTAAATGATAAAGTTGATTGCAGTTGTTTAAGTTTGTGACAAAAACTACTTTAAGACGAAAACGGCGAGTTTAAGATTTGAAATAAACCCCTCTCTCTATTTAAACTCCCCTCTCTAATGAACCCTCAGGTAAAAAGGCTTGAAAAACAAACAAATAAATAAATACATTAATGAAGCCCGCGGGGGGATTAATAGAACACTTACGGTAGTTGTACGTTTGTGAACAAGACAGTGAAGATGAAATAGAGGTCCATAGAAGAAGTTCGCATAGACGTATCAAGATTCTTGACGACAGCGAAAGTGAAGAAAGTGAACTTAGAAGTATTCGCATAAGAGGAGTGGAGATTGAAGTCAGTGAAGATGAGAATGCAAGCTCCTTTGAAACTCCACACAAATTGGCTGAAGATGTCATTACTGAATTTAAAGCCTGGCTTAGATCAGCCGACGGAGGGTAAGCTTGATGAGAAAACCAGCCCAACAGCATGGAAAGAAAGTTTCTAAGCTTCTGAAGGTGGTGGATGACAAGTGCGATTTGACTTCCTTGTTCGACGATCACCTTATTAACCAAAAGTTCCTCGAAGACTATGCAAAGAAAGAATACCTCCCCAAAACAACGGAGAATTATTTAATGAGTTTACGTCACTTTTACTCCTTTTCCCTTCCTGAAAAACTAGGAATAACTGTTTCTAAGAAAAGTTAATCTCTTTAAGAGACAAAGTCAGCCGGTGGTCATCAGCATTTCGCCAGAACTTGTGCCAAACGACACTAAGAAGAGATGGAAGAAGACTTTCACGCCTTGATAACTCCAGATCAAATAAGACAGTTTGAAACAAACAACGCCGCAAGAGATGCTTTATGTCTGTTAGGTCAACTGTGAGGTGCACAAAACATCCAGATAACACAAGCTCGGAACACGTCAATTCGACATTTCTTACTAATTGAGATATCTAACCCTAAGAAGATTCTAGACAAAGTTCGAGGGATGTGGCGTTTTCCTTCCTCCACACAATCAGAGCCTGTGAACCTCCCTGACGAACAAGAGACGCTTGAACAAAGAGTGGAGAGATCTCTTGACGTCGATAAAAACCGACCTTGCGAAATACAGACCAAAACAACAGAGGCAAGTGATGTTCGTTACCTATTTTCATCTTTGGAGCTTGATAGGCTGAGAGCTATGTTAAAAGAAATGATCACGACATCTGTACCAATCTCAAAGCCTAGGGTCAAGGAAATTCTTCAAAAGGAAGATGGGGCAAAGTACCTCTTACAAAAATCCTCGTTAGAAACAATAATTAATCGTGTGAAATACGAAAGGCGCCTTGAAAGAGCATTTAAGACAGAGTTGTTTTGATGATTGTTAACAGTTGATTAAAGTCTGGACAAATGTGTCGGATGTACTGTTATCAAGTGCCTTAAGATTTTATGGTGATTTTGCGTTAACGTTACTATGATAGGTTATTCTATCTAATTTAAGTTATTGTTGAGCGGATAACGGAGCTCGTTGTTTGTCTTGAAAGGTCCCTCCTTCCCACTTTAGTCCGTCATGCGTCAATTTGCCGTTGCCGCGCGAATTTTGGTAGGGAGATATACTCGACTAAACTTGTTCGCAGATATTTTTCCTAAGTCGCGTGGGTAATTTCTGTCTTTTTTTTCCCATGTGCTTATACATGAACCTTACATGCTAATGCTATGGATTGTAGAGAGATGCCAAGCGCTCGTAGACATTATCTTGTTAACATGAGGATACTTTCTCTCTACAATCAAAGGAAATTCATTTTTCTCACCAGCTGCTCGGTAACTGTTGCAGAATATTTAGAAACAATGCATAATCACGTGACATGAACGTATAGGGAGTGCTTGGCTTTGGTGTGACGCCCAGACTCTTCTAAAAGTCCACCATTCCTGTCAACTCGATACACGCTTTCATGGCATCCATGGGTTTTCCGCCATTCCACCACTCATGGACGTGAGGTATTGTCTGCACAAAATGAAAAGTAGAAAAATAATGTTTTAGGGATTAGTCATGTATCACGGGGAGGGGGGGAGGGTTTGAAAGATTTTTTTGGGAGGTGACCACATGATTTTCAGGGGCAATGGAGGCAACGGAGTGTAAAAGGGGGGGGGATACAGGCCATAGAAAGTTGATTTCCAGGGGGGGAATAAATTACGGCTTTCATCTTCGAAAATCTCAGGGCATGACAACAAAAAATATGTATGCAATACTGTTATTTTCCTAGAAAAAAAGCGCAAAATCGGCATTTGTAAGAACTGCGTATGTTCTTCAAGACCGAATTTTTTCATCCAGCAATAAAAGGAAACAAAATAAAAAGCAGAAAATCAGTAAGCCGCAACACACCTTTACTTCGTGTTGAAGTCACTTATTAAATGAAATGCTCAGAATCGCTATATTTGATTGAGAAGGATGCATGTTTTTCCTTTCACAAGGCAAACTTTGAAATTGCGTTGACGTCTTTTCAGTTAAACAGTTCTTTATATCCCTGATGCTACAAAAGGTTTGTGAAGTTTTTATCTAACCAATTGACTTTTAAGACAAGGCAAGTTATGCTTCACTTAGAAAAGAAAAAATAAGGTAGATTGGAAATGCAATTCGGCAATCAAAACGTCCTGCAACTGATCGAAAATGTAACAATCTTTGGAGACACATGTTATCCTGCTGATAGGAATTGGTATTTAAATACAAAAAGACACTCCCTTTCACAAGAAAGCTCAAAGTATGTTTTTGCATTTGACTAAGCTCAGTACTTTTTTATGCTATTTGTAGATCGACGCTCCGACTTGACCTGGCATTGGCCGAAAGATTTAGGTCACTCAGTTGCGTTTTCTAGCTTCCATAAAGTAATAGTAATAGAACTACCAAACAATCAAACGTAAACTATAGAGCGCGCTTAAAAACTGACAAAACAATCAAACGTAAACTACGGAGCGCGCTTAGACCTAATGACACAATCAAACGTAAACTACAGAGTGTGCCAAGAACTAACAAATCAATCAAACATAAACTACAAAGTGCGCTTAGAACTAATTAAACAATCAAAGATAAACTACAGAGCGCGCTTAGACCTAGCAACACACTCAAACGTAAACTACAGAGCGCGCTTAGACCCAACAAAAGAATCAAACGTAAACTACAGAGCGCACTTAGACCTAGCAACACACTCAAACGTAAACTACGGAGCGCGCTTAGACCCAACAAAACAATCAAACGTAAACTACAGAGCGCGCTTAGACCTAACAACACACTCAAACGTAAACTACAGAGCGCGCTTAGACCCAACAAAACAATCAAACATAAACTACAGAGCGCACTTAGACCTAACAACACACTCACACGTAAACTACAGAGCACGCTTAGACCCAAACAACCAATCAAACGTTAACTACAGAGCGCACTTTGACCTAACAAGACAGTCAAACATAAACTACAGAGCGTGCTTAGAACTAACAAAATAATAAAACGTAAACTACAGAGAGCGCTTAGAACTAACAAAACAATCAAACATATACTACAGAGAGCGCTTAGAACTAACAAAACAATCAAACGTAAACTACAGAGTGCACTTTGACCTAACAAGACAGTCAAACATAAACTACAGAGTGCACTTTGACCTAACAAGACAGTCAAATATAAACTACAGAGTGCACTTTGACCTAACAAGACAGTCAAACATAAACTACAGAATGTACTTTGACCTGGCAAGACAGTCAAATATAAACTACAAAGTGCACTTTGACCTAGCAAGACATTCAAACGTAAACTACAGAGCGCACTTAGACCTAACAAAACAGTCAAACATAAACTACAGAATGTACTTTGACCTAGCAAGACAGTCAAACATAAACTACGGAGTGCACTTTGACCTAACAAGACATTCAAACATAAACTACAGAGTGCACTTTGACCTAACAAGACAGTCAAACATAAACTACAGAATGTACTTTGACCTAGCAAGACAGTCAAACATAAACTACAGAGTGCACTTTGACCTAGCAAGACATTCAAACGTAAACTACAGAGCGCACTTAGACCTAACAAAACAGTCAAACATAAACTACAGAATGTACTTTGACCTAGCAAGACAGTCAAACATAAACTACGGAGTGCACTTTGACCTAACAAGACAGTCAAACATAAACTACAGAATGTACTTTGACCTAACAAGACAGTCAAACATAAACTACAGAGTGCACTTTGACCTAGCAAGACATTCAAACGTAAACTACAGAGCGCACTTAGACCTAACAAAACAATCAAACGTAAACTACGGAGTGCTCTTTGACCTAACAAGACAGTCAAACATAAATTACAGAGCGCGCTTAGACCTAACAAGTTAGTTGTCAAAACGTACTCGTAAAGCAATGAGGGAAAGGATAACGCACCGCTGAGGGATACAATTGGCATCGAAAGATTTTTATTCACGTTTTGCTATGCATCAAAAAACGAACGAGTGAGTTTTGTTATGCATAGTAACAAGTGAATAAAAATCGTTCAAGCATTTTCCATGGTGTAATGTTTTTATTTCATACGTACTAAAATTTTTTTTTACTGAAAGCCGCACGCTTGTTGCCCTCCACTGTGAAGTACCATCGTTCATGTCTACGATTGGACGAACGATGTATTCTCAGTCATTCGCTCAGTATGTATGAAATAAATTACGGTACTTTCAATGTTGGTTTTGAGAATCAGATACCGTATCAACACTTTTTTAGCATAAATCTTTCAAAAAATCATGAATTATTATTATTTATCAGAACGATTGTCTGCCGCAATCCTCAACCCTTAACAAAACGATCTATTTTTTTTTGTGAAAGAACGTTTCCTGTCCATGTAGAACGTTTGAAGTACTACCTTTCTGATCCCCTAACTCGATCAGATCAGAAGTCGTTCAGTTTAAAAGTTTCTTTTTCCTAAAAGCAACTGAAGTGATTGCTTTAACAATTTTTTTAAGGGTTTAAGTAGTTCAGGAAATAAATAATTTTTATAACCTTCCATAGTTGCAAAAGTGCCCTAAAAGTGACTAAAGTGCCCTCCAAAGTTGCCAAAGTGCCCTTAAAAGTTACCAAAGTGCCTGTCACGTTACAGAAGTGCTCCTTTGTGTTACAAAAGTACCCTTTCCTCTAGCTCTCTCTCTCTTTCTCTCTCAAATGACTAGTTCTTCCGCAAAAATTGATTTTGAAGTTGTGAACTTTGTGCTACCAAATGTGTTTTTTAGGTAGATTGGCACACGGCCAGTTATCCATATGTAATTTTTCAATCCTTCTCAAAAAGTAACTGAGAAAGTTAAAACGAAAGGTATTTGAAGTTAACGGTTACATTAATCAGTGAATCTTTCGCGTTCATATAAAATTTGAATTCTCCAAAACAATTTGTTCGTTGTACAAAGTTGAGTGAAGTTTTGATTTCCACCCCAAATGCACTTTCGCTAACTCTTCGCAATTCTCATGAATTTGGACATCTACCGTACATTTCACAACAGAAACCGAAGTGATTCTATTACTAAAAGTCGCAATAAATCCGCGTGTCTAACAAGAAAAAGTGCCTCATTTGACTTCAGCTTTTCGGCGGAAGAAATACAAAATTGCAGCAAACAATTGTTTTCAAAACTTTAAAACATTGCAGCAAACAATTGTAGCAAACAATTGTTCTCAAAACTTTAAAACATACATTTGAATTTACCTACAATAATTTTCGTTGCCTTTCATAACTGAACAGAGATAAATCTTCGTAAACTAATCGCCGTTGGGAATGAATAATACTTTCCGTGTAAGAGCACTAACTGTTTGTGAAGACAGCATCGTCGTGATAATATTTAACTCGAGTTTGATTGGCAAACCAGTACACTATTGCTGTTCATGCAAATTTGCACATGCACATTTTTTTTTTTTTTGCTTTCTAGTGGACAGGTGTCAGGTTGTGACATAATCTTATAAAAATAGTTGCAAGGTTTTCATTGAACACTATAGTAAATCAATTCTACTATTACGCAAATAAAAATGTTTAGGTGAAGCCTCTCTTTAATTCTGTTTTCTCTAATGAATTGTTCAGTTCATGGAGAATCGTGCCGTAATTACAGCCCTGGATATTCGGGATTTTTTTCAAAGCATTTTGCTAAGTTAAAAAAAATATAAATGTTTCTCACCATCCTACGTCAGTCTGTAATGAGAAAAAATGTGCCTGAGTTCTTACCGCTAAAGGCCGTAAGAAAAGGCGGTATCCAAGACCTCGGGAACAGTTTTTCCCAAACAAACCCCCAGTACTGACATATGAACTTCATAATTGGCCTTGCTCACCTTAGAGTTTCCGTGGCTCAGTGACAGAGCATTAGAGTGCGGAATCTGAGGTTCGATTCCTCATGGAGACTCAGAATTTTTTCTTTGTCCCACGCTCGTGACTAGACGAAAAAACATCTTCCACTGCGGTATTGACACGTTGTAACAAACGAACGCAACAAACTAAAATGTAGCACCTAAAAAGGGGATGTTATTTAGACACGAAATCAAGAAACAAAGGGCAAGAACTGAAACCGGTCTGAAAAAGGGGACCACACCTCTAGCAAGAATTGCCAGAATCCTCCGACCCCCATTTGGGAATTTTGTGCAAAAAAACTTTCATCATCTGATCACTGGTCTGCAGTGTCGGTAAGAAAGAGATTAAGTAAAAATATGTTTAGATTCTCTGAGACCAAATTTCGATTTTGGCTCTAATCGTGAGGTTTTATAAAGAAACATGTTGCAAAATAGAGGTCCCTGGACTGGTAAGGTGTATAGATGTACGTCGAGTTGTTTTTTCCCACAACATGGGATACTTTGAAATCAATCTCTAGATACATAATTTTTCTAGAGAAACAGGATTGTTTCATAACAAAGAAGCAAAACAGAAAAATGATGATGATCACACTGTATGCAGATGCCTGTCTCTCATAACGTCACAAATCAGCTGCCTGTTTCTCTCCTATAAATGGACATACTTTTTCAAGTGGACATAATGTCTGCAGGAGACTAGCTTTTTCTGGCATATACATAACTGACTAAAATTCTCCTAACTCCCTTGTATTTGGATTGGGGTAAAAGGCAAACATTCTTTATAACCTAAACATTAAATAAATCATCACGACCAAAAAATATATGTGTTCATTTTAATTTTGTCATGTTCATGTGACAATTAAATATAACATTTTGCATTAACTAAAACATACTCTATTTCCCAAATGTGTTACATATTTCCCAAACATTTTGCATTTGTTTTACCAAGACCACCATTTACCTCATGATAATTGTTTGAATGCAGAAACATATTGTTAGACAATAAGTACACTACATAAATAAATAACATCTGAATAAATAGGTACACAAATAAATAAATAGATAGATCATTGCAAAATAAATAAGCTTCTTCTATCACCAACTCAGACATACTATTTACAATGTCTTATTAAATTCAATTCATGATTTTCCCTCTAGTACCTGATAAACTATATTCTTCTTGGTACTAGACACTGAGATAACAGAAGAAGGGATAATAGAAGAAATAATCAAGTTTAAATAACTAAAGATAAAATCCTCTCATGCTATCACATTAATTTACATTGCTTTAGAGTAACAATCTCAAAGTGCCTGAGAAATTAGTTAACTGTCAGTGATAACATATTCCAATTGCAATTCCCCCACATGAGGATTCAAATGCTTTGAAGGCAATAAAAAGCTGATTCCAGAAGATGTAACTCACAAATGGTGAGTTATTTAGGCTAATAACATTCATTGATTAATGATCAATCAAACTGATAATTATCACATTTCAGAGGCACTTAAAGACTTGTTTTATATTTAATTAATATAACATAGATTCCCACAATGACATAAAAATTGTCCTTAACAGTCCAATTACTGAATAGAGTAAAATGAAATAATGCACAATGACACTGGGAACTTTAAAATCAATAAAATCATTTAGAAATACAAATGATCTTAATCATGGATAACAATAATTATCTTTAAGAAATCATCAACTACTTTGACATGGAACTTGTTAGTTCTATGTTTGGGCTACCTCATTTGCTACATTTAATAAATTTACAACCCCACGATTAGATTGAGCAGAGGGATCAACATATTGAAATGGAGTTGTGCAGATCACTTTGTCAGCACTTATGTTCACCATGAGTAATGGACATTTACCACTGCCAAAGGCCAGTACTTATCTCTAGGCTCAAAAGATGGAGCTATATCAGAGAAAGTTTTTGAAAACTACCCATATTACCATAATTTCAGTGAAAGCTATCATGATGCAACAAACTTGATTTATCCTTTGTTAGTTGCAGAAACTACCAGTGCATAAATTTGTCCAAAACTTTTCCACAGTAAATACATTGATTGAAGATATTCAGCTGCAGGATTCAAATTCAAATATAAGACCTTCAAATTACTATTTAAAGTGAAGAACATGAAAATTGTGCAAATTTAAGGTTTTTTCTATCAAACTTTTGCTTAAACCTTCAAAAACAACCAAAACTTTGGGAAGTGCAAAGAACAGCTGGATGGAGACATGAAAGACATAAAAACACATCTTTTGATCTTTTGATCATCATCACCTACATGAAGTTTCCAAGGCATAAGAGAAGAAGAGCAGGTATCTCTTGTAATCACATACAATTTACAATTATCACATTGTCTGAGTCTAAATCTAGTCACCACACCTTAACAATACCTTTCAACTTTTGATGTTGGTTTTAACTTGTGAATCAAAATCTGTATTTTGTGATGACTGGAAAGGAATCTCCTATACTTTTTGCTCTCTAAACTGTTAGGTCTTATAAACCACTTCAAGTAACTCCTTCACTCTCAAAATCTGATTGGCAATTTTTCTTCTTGATTTTAATGTTCAGGGCTTAGAGCTCAACTTTCATCAAAGTCACTATTTGGTGATCCTAAATCCTAAAATTAACACAAGAAATAAATTAGAAGTTCACCAGTTCACTTTATGAAGTATTAATTGACTTGTAACACCATGACAATACACCCTGGTTTAATGATAACCAATTAACAGAAAACAATCATTTTTGAAGATGACACATCACCTCAAGGTTTTAGATTTGACTTACAAGGATAGAGACCTAATTTTTCACAAATTAAAATGATGAGAAATTAAGAAATGTTTGATGCAAATGCTAATCTGAGATCAACCTTTGACCATAAACAAAAAGTAATAAAAATGTTGCAACTTGCTACATGATTGTTTATCACTGCATGGTCTTCGGATTTGGAACTTTCCCAGAAAATTGGGCTGTCCCTGATTTTTCCTAGTTGCCAAGTGATCACAACTTGGAGTGTTATGTTTACATTAAACTTTCAAAGAATTTTATGTACAAGTCATTCCCTGGAGAAAAAGCTTCAAATGTTGATTTTTTTTACTTTAATGACAAATTCCTAATTTAATGAAGGCATTCCTTGCCGTAGGAACAAGAAGAAACAAAATTTGTTGAAACTAAAAGGAGCAGACCTAATATTCCTATATTTAATTGCAACCCTAAGGGTTTAGAAAGAAATCATGATTTGAAATGTTCTTTACAGTATCAGTTAGACTGAGCAGACCAGCCGACTATTGTTACATGATGAAATAATTATTTGTTGCTTTCATTTCCTAGTTTCTGGAATGCATCCAGACATGAGAATGAAAATATTGCAATCAATGTCACAGAAATTAAGGAACCAAATTGAAGCCCACCAAACCAAACCTAAAGCTTGAGAATTAGTGTTGATTTCATGACAAGTCCATTTCTTATATGATACATTATGGACACTCAAATATCATATGAAAGATTCAATATCACAACCAAAAACAATCCATCTATGGAGTAATATTGGATTAACTCTTTCTGAATGGCATATGAACTCCCTGCTCATGGGTTACATTACAAGGGGTTGGGATGAAAATTGAAACCAAAATAATGATCAAGATAACATCCCTTTTAGTGAAAGCCCTATCACAACCACAACTGAGACAACTTCAAAACAGAATGTAACATTGTTAAAGGAACCTTTGAAAGTAAACAAAGAACCACGCACTAGCAGAGAATGAGACAGGAGCTTCACCAAAACTAAGAAAGCTTGACAGATTGATAGCCTAAGGAAGAGATGTGCAAAGAAAATACACAACAACAATCTCAAATTGAGTGGCTCACTGAATCAATCTGATTATGAATGGAAACTGTTCAAGAACAGATGATGACACTTCAAGATTGTGTATAATCATTAATGTATTGAAAGTGTAAGACCAAGTAAGCTCTTTTTCCAAAGACTACTGCAGACAATGGATATCAATAAATGATGAGTGAGATTGTCTGTGCATGTTATTATCATTGCATCTACAGGTAATTACAGTACAGATTTTCATATGACAGAAAGAAAAATTGCATGTTAATAAAAGAACTCTGTTACAGTCACTAGTAATTGTTACTACTTAATGTAAGCAACATCACTATCAGGAGACTTACCATAATGCTATGATAAGTTGAGTGATTGCAATTGATCTTCAAACTCACTCTTCCTTGACAATTTCTTTAGTTGATCGCAATCTAATTTTGCCCCTTTGCAGTACTTCTCCTCTAAGCCACTAATTTCTGCCAGTTTCTTTTTAATCTTCCGAATCTGTTTTTCAATCTCACTTTTCTTTAAGTCATCCTGGGAGGAATGAAGATTCACCGACCTGCTACCTCCAGAAACTTCTGACTCCTGTTTGGCAGGGACTTCACCAATATCTACAAAATGTTCTTGGATATCACCATCTTCAATAGGGTTCTCCTCGAAGTGGACATCTTTTTTACTGACCTTAGAAAGTAATAATGGCTTACTTTGATCATTACACCCACTTTTATGAATAAAAAGAGAGAGATTGGAAGGTTATCATTAGTTTCAGTGTTATTTACCTTGTTCAGATGATGGCCTTCTCCCAAGCTAATCTCTGGTTGGTTGAAATTATTCAATAAGTTCTCAGTGTGGATTTCATAATTATTGGAGTCATGGTTTTTGTGATTGCTGTGACGAAATGAATTGTTGAAATTTCTGCGTCTGGAGAGGGATCGATAATAGCTGGGCCTGGCTGCTGGATAAACACAATAGTCATACCCCTGACCTGGTGACTGTAGGGACCCTGGTCCACCAGTTTGGTCATGAAACCCATATGAGCATGTGAACGAAGCCTGACCTGTTGACACTGCAGGAATCATATTGTACATGTTGGAGAAGGACAAAAAAGTTTGTGGTACTCCAGTGGACTGGTAGCCATTGGGGTTTTGAAACTGAGGAGCAAATTGGTACTCTAGAGGCCACTGTTGTAAGGCAAATGGATAACTTGTGAATTGGCATTTGGTATCGTACACCTGGCCATTTGAAGGTTTGCCAATCGACTTAAGAAAATCCTCTTTAAGGTCTTCACTCGGTATGTATTTTGTATAGTCAAATCGCTCTTCTTTAGGGATCCTTTCACCGTTTCCCAAACAACCATTAGTTTCAGGGACAAGTGTCTCACTTTCTGATTGTGGTGATCGCTGTTCAATTGATTTCCTGCCGTCGATCGAGTTCAATCCCTCTTCGGATGATACTACAGTTTGTTCACTCATACTCAAACAGTCTTCGTTCAGTCTTTTCTCTGGTTGTTGGTCATTCCCGTTTGACTCTATTTCTGGATCATTGTGGGAATTTTTTCCACTTTCATCTGCTTCGCTAGCGAAAGAATTGTAATTTCGTATGCCGCCTACTACTTCTAGCCCACTCTCGCATCCGGTCTCGGTTGCTTCGCATGACGTACTCTTGAGGGAAGTTGCCGACGAAAAACTTTCAAATACTTGGTTTTTCTGAGTTTTCCCATCAGTATCACCCTTTTCTCGCTGCATTTTACAACTTTCTGACTGAAAGGGATTTAGAGATTCTTTATGGTCCACTTCTTCAGCAAAACTTTCATGCTTTGCGTTCAATGGACATATGGCCTTTTCACCGATAGGGATTTCTCCTTTACACTTATTCATACAACGTCCCATTAGCGCGGCTGTTTCCTTTTGAGAGGAGTCGCACGAATGTAAACTGGCTTGGTGCGAGTTCTCGAGGTTTTGACCGCTTTCGGACATGATCTTTCTTCGGTCAATGTCCCAGGTAGCCAAACCTCGGAAGACTTAGTCAGCTGTTCTCTAACACAATCACTCAAACTCTGACTTGGTAACTTTTTATTTGTTACAAATACGCATGCGAACTGAAGGCCACCTGCTTTCCTTAAGTTTCGTCAGTCTCGTTCCCAGGGGATTCTCGGTCAATTTTCCAAGAAAGAAAGGAAGGTGGACTATGGATATATTTGAAAACGATCTTCGCAGTAATGAACACTACTTAAGCAGTCGTGAAATTAAGGCCTGTACGGAATTTCAACCCATGACCTCTGCGATGCTCTACCAACTGAGCTAACAAGCCAACTGGAAGCTGGTCATTATGTTGGTTCTAAATAAACACGTGAAGCGATGAATAAATAGCTCTGAATATATGAAAAACCATTTATGTGAACTGCGCATTAAGTCTATCCGCAGTCCTCACATAACAGCAAACCGCCTCAATTTTTTTGATGCAAGCAACCGTTCTTTTTTTATGACTAGGGGTACAAACTTAGAATTCATTGTAAATTGCAGTCTAAAGAAGCGTAGAACTATTGAATAAAAAAAGGTAGATAATTAATACTTTATGTTGTGTAGTAACACGCCATCTCCTCGGTGCAAGAATTTTGGGGTCTGAAAAGTGGCAAAAAAGTCACAGGTCTGATGGGAAGGGGAGGTGGGAGCCCCACATACCCCTTCCCTGGACCTGCCACTGAAAGGCATATTAAAGTTTCAGAGTAAACCAAAACCCTGCCCCTCAGCAGAATGGAATAGTTAACTCTACTGGCTAACATGAAATGTACCGGTCGCCTATGCCAAGTCTCGTGCTCACCAGTCCTACATGATCAGTATACAGTCATGTAGCAGCATACACCTCAAATGGATGTATCCTGAGCAAAAAATGTACCTTTCATCCCTGTTTATTCCATTTTGTCAAGTCATTTCCTTTTGCCATATATTAAATTATTTGGTTGGCATTACTGTCGGTGTTGTGGTGGCATTATATCTCAATGTTGGTTTAAATCTTTCAGCTCGCAGTGTACTTTTTGTGACTTTAAATTGGTTATGCAATGGAATCAAGAAAGCATGTGGTTTTTCAAATGAAGATTTAAGTACTGAAATGCACAAACAATGAACCTGGTGACTCTTTGACTCTGGTTTTTTGTTTGTTTCTGTTTTTTTTTTTTACATCCCACACCCCTACCTGCTTGCTTTTCTGTTCACCATATAAGAGTGTTGTTATTAAATGCCAGCTCACTGGGTAATTTACCCCCTGATCTCAAGTATCTCTGCCAAGGTACATTCATAATTCACTAGAACAGGATAGGGGTGTAAAATTGGTAGCGGAGGGGGGGGACTTGCCAAGATAATTCAGAGAATAGACAAAAGGTTCATGAACCAAAAGAGAAGCATTCACACATAACATAACATGGGTGACCAATTTATTACCTTAACAAGTGACAAGTAAACAATTAACTAAGAAACCAGCTACAGCCATTACAGTAACCCTTTCACCTCAGGTAAAGCTCTGTACTTAAATTATTCTTAAAATTTTTTACATAGACCTCCAAACAGCTAAGTAATAGGCATTAGGCACATCCATTTGAGAAGGTTGTTTGGACTGAATATTAACTGGTGGTTATCAGTAATAACCAAATTAGCTTTAAAATTCTATATACAACTCCAAACAGCTTGGCAATGAGCATCATCAATAAGGCACATCACCCTGGAGAGATTGTTTAGATTTAATATTGACTGGTAGTTTTCAATACTAACCAAATTAGCTTTAAAATCTTAGGAGTATGTCAGAGATGCATAAGGAAGGTCTCAGAGGGAGAGTACCTTCCATAGCTGATGATTTAAATTAGGCCATCTTGACAGTTGATGCTAAATTTTCTGAAATAACAAATCATCAAATTTTTATCAACCCTATAAGTTTTCAATTCCAATACACTCAATTCCAATACAAATTTGCATCATTTGCATAAACCAACTATTGATAAAGTATTAAATCTATTTGAAATTGTTTTCAAGAACTAGAGACAAAGTATTTAAAAACTTTCTTTAGAAGTGATAGCAAATTTTAAATACAAACGCAAATTGTACAAATACACCATTTACAGCCAGTTGAAGGGATTTGTTAACAACTAATATTTACATTCGCATAATGAATCTGACCCATTCAACCATTACATTCCCTCAAGTTGAGCAACCTTTTGTGCAAATATCTTTATTTCCTTTTCCACTTCAGCTTTTAATTGTGCTTGGCTTGCTTGTGGGTGACTCTTCACATACTGACTGATTCGCATTACAGTCTCTGCCTGAAAACAGCAAAATATTCTGTCACTTACAGCAATGATGCAATTAGAATTTAGAACAAAACAATTCATGGCTAATATGAATCAGCTTTTCATCTCTGCAAAGAGTCTCATACAACTACACAACAATTTTTCAAGATAAAAATGTACATGCAACTCAAGTACAGGACTTAAGAGCATGATGCTTAAAAAGTTTGCTTAAACATGTCTTTTGTTCCAAAGTATAAAATCTCTCTTTTATTCTACTAAATGTACTAAATGTAACTCTTAAATGGAACTTTGAGCACTTTGAGACTTGAAGTGATTTTGCTTTACTACATTTTTCAAATTTCTTGTACAAGTATTTGAAAATTCTTTTATTTTATAAATGTTGAGCTATATCCTATTTATAAAGGTTACACTCAGGGGCTGTCAATGTCTTGGGCTGTTAATGGCTCACTAAAGTTTCATGACATGTAGCAAGATTTTTAAAGCTTATTGTCTGAAGTCAGTAGGTTTGTGTTATAGTCCTTACTTGTGACTACCTGTTAATCCTTAAGAACTATAATGACTGAAATCTGTAAGAACACATTGTAATAAATGTCTCTGAATAAAATCAGAGAAGAAACAAAACTGAAACTCCTTGAGTACCATTATATAACCTACCCTAAGGACATCGGCTTGGGAAACAGAAAGTCTTTTGTAAACTTCATAGCAAACTCTACCAGTTACAAATGCATTGTAAAGAGCTTTTCCCTCCTCTCCACCATTAATGAATGCTAACACTCCTATCTGTTGAGAATACAGAGAACTTCTTAAGTTATTCATTATTCAACTCCATGCCATTTGAGCTTCATCCTTCGACACATTCTCAAGAAAATCACTGAAATCATGCATATGCCTTACATACTATAATTGGCACATAACAAACTAACCAAAGGAATTTGAAGCAAGCAGGTCATGGGGTTTTGAGCTCATTTTTCTATTCATGTGGTTATGTAGTCAATCAGCAATTAATGTCAGGTAATGGGGAGATTTTCAAAAGTGTCACTGTCTTATAACATATGGTTCAGCATGGAACACTTGTTTTAAGTAAACATCTTTATTTAAATAGCACTGTAAATAAATAAATTTAAGGGGCATTTTCTCAACAGCTAGATGCAAAGTTAAGCAAAATAGCCTACCAAATCAAATCACCTTAGAGTTAAGGTTGGATTTCATGGTACAGAAGGTGTCTTTATACGAATGTTTTTACCGTGACAAGTTTTCCCAAAATTAAGATGAACAACCAATCCTTGAAAAATCACCCCTAACAAAGAAACTTCACCTCAGCCATATTTTGCACTTGGCCAAAACATTTATAGAAACCAAGCATGTGTTATAATTTTTCCAATCGCTTGCCAAGCAAGATTTAATCCTTATGTCCTGGGATCTGTTGTAAAAATTATTTTTACTGTACAGCAAGTGTTAATTTGTAAACACAGATTTGTTGAAAAACCTACCTTTTAGATGAAAAATCAAATAACAACAAGCAAACTAAAAATGATATGAAACAAATTCTGCCATAAGGATAGAAGTGTCCTGATATTCTTGTTTTCAATGGAGAGAAAATTGTAGTGGTAGGGACAAACTTGTAATGGCCCAACTTGCTATGGGGCCATTACCCGCACAGCTTAGCTTAGGATTTGTAACACTCTTCTTGGTATATTCCAGAGATTAAGTTCATTCATGTATAGGTACATGTAAAAGTACTAGCCTATTATCCTATCCTATCCTAGCCTGTTATCCTATCTGCATTTCCTGGCAGGTTTTTGTGGCTACTGTCTCCTATCAGAGGCATAGCCACATAAAATATTTACTCGTGTATAAGTCGACCTGTCAACCTTTTGTGACCAAAAAATCAGCCCAAAAAATCACCCTCCACTTAGACACGAAATAACATAAAAATAAGAGATAGCTTATCATAATTAGGCATAAGCAAAGTGCATGCATCAAGTGCAAAAATAATTTACTGTGCGTTTAGTCAAAACAACCGCATATGATCAAAACAATAATATGCAATGATATCTTCACATCTTTAAGGTGCAAAAAAGTTCAAAGTTCAGCTAAACAGTTCAAGGAATTGTTCAGTCTGTGTCTGAATCACTTTTGATGAAATGGAATCATCATTTCCGAGGTTTAACCATGTTTTTTTTTTTAATTTCGGCATTGGATCGCTCCAGCAAAGTGTTAAGCTGGGTTGGCTCATAATTTCCGATCTCCTTGGCAATTCCCTTCTCTAAACACCACTTTTTCCAAACCGACAACCAAAAAGCAGTGCTTTTTACAGTGTTTTTGTTGTTTGAGCTGTTTTTCAGCTGCGGTAGCAAAAGAAAACCTTCTTAAAATGCTGGCCATTGTTTCGCTTGCAAATTTGCAAAATTTCAAATTTTGTTGCAACATCCAAGGCTTGCATTTATTTGGCTATCTGTGAGTTTCTTTGATTATTGACTAATCAGAATGTCAGATCAGTTACTTTCTTTGCACTGAATTAATCCTCTTCTGCACTGAATTAACTCTCTTCTGCACTGAATTACCTGAAAACTTAATTTATCTCAACCAATCAGAACTAAGTAATTTTTCCATGTATATTATTATTGGGTAAAAACATATTAGGCAACGTTCACACCATACCAGATGAATTTTCAAACAGTGGAAAATTTATGTGTTCAAGCATTTCATTCACATGGAATCACACTTAATGTATGAAAATTTGGACACCCAAGCATTCAAAAATTTGGACACCAAAATCAAGGACAATTTTTCAGCCAGTGCAGCCAATAATTTGACACCGCCATGGTGTGGACACCTTAATCATCTAAATTTTCATGCAGTAAAGGTGTGGCTACATGGATGTGAGGTTAATAAGATAATACTGTGTTTAAAATTTTATACAAAAATGGAGCGTGTTGGTTTACTGATTGCAGACCTTGGTAATATTGAAGAAATGTAAAATGGTTTTCATGTTTACATAGCCTGATGTAAACATGCAGGAGGTTGGGAGAACACGAGATAAGTGTGGGAAACCACGACGTGAAGCAGAGTGGTTTCCAGCTTATCGAGTGTTCTCCCAACCTCCCAAATGTTTACATCAGGCTATGTAAACATGAAAACCATTTTACATTTCTTTTATAAAATAACTAATGAAAGTGGAACAAAAACCATGTTTACATACACTCATGTAAAATGGTTTTATGGCCAATCAGAGTGCGCATACTATTTGAATTATAAACAGCTTTATTGCATACTTCCTTGTTTTTGGGATATCTTTTGAAGAAAATCTCATGTGATTCCTCAAACCTTGTTCTTATCAATTCCCATTCTTTCCCCTCACTCGTTTTCCCATTTGTATATGATAAGGCAACATTAAGCAGTATTGCTGTCTCCTCATCCGTCCAGGTGAAATATTCGTTATACCTGCTACTATTCGAATTGGTTTTTCTCTTTCGGGGAAGCCATTCCTCATTGGGTTAGGAAGTGTTCTGCGCACGAGGAGACGGTAAAACCATGGACGAATGTCAAAAACTTCATCCGGTTATCAACTCAATCTGAACAGAACGAAACTTTCGCACGGTTGGGGCCGGTCGAAATTTCGTCCAGTACCGTGTGAACGTAGCTTTAGTCTTGCGGGCCGAAACAAGCAAGCTTCGCGAGAACTAATATCAGGTGGCATACATTGAAATATGCAATATTTTGGAATGCCAAGAATAGTAATGGCCTTGACTATAAGCCTTAGATTTATCAAAAATCTCACTGGCGTTACCTTTCGGGTACCGTGTGGAAAACTACGACATAATTTTCTCGTTGTCGCATAACGCGTGAATTGTGTGGCCAGTATAATGTCGTAAAAGAGTGGAATGGCTAGTTACTGGTATTTACCCGTTTAAAGAGAAAAAGTTATGGTTCGTAATGGAGCTCATACTAAATTATTTGGGAAAACTCAAACAAGGCTGTAGTCCAGATGGGCAAAATGGATACGCATTGCTCAATAACAAAAACGTTGATTAGATTCTCCAGAAGTAATTGTCGTTACAATTTTTCAGTCTTACGCACAAACCTGATTCAAAAGCTCCACCGAATCCATACGGAAATTCAATGCCATGTCACCACGCAGTCCAGATAACACATTCAATTGGTTTCCTCCGTCTGCTCGTTGAAATTGGTCGACAGCGTTAGTCAAGGCTAAGTGTCCAAGCCCCACCTTAGACACCAGGCCATCATTACAATGGCAACTCGCAACCATACTGGCACATCCTTGAGCGGCCGCGTACCGAATCTAAGAATGGTTGGGAAGGAGAGCTAGACAAAGTCGAACCTTATGAGTGCTTTTATTAAGCTTCATTTCCGGCTTTTCTATATGTAGTGCTTACTCGAGTAAAAACGAACGTCTTTTAAAAATTGAGGGCTGGAGGTCGGACAGGTGCCAAAAAGCAGAAAGTTCTCATTTCGAAGCGCTTCAGTCTGCGACGCAGACTAATTGTAAACCACTAATTTACTAATCCCGTGCACTGAATGCACTTTATTCTACTGAATTCTAATGGCCGATTACGTGATTCATGTTTGGAAGCAAGTGTAACCCTCGCCATTTCCTGCAAGTAAACAAAACTTTTAAATATGTTCCAGGCGCACCAGTTTATGACTTGCTACCATATTTGGGTATGATGTTTACGATCAGCAGATTTCGAAATGGCAGTAAGAAACAACAGAAAGAATGATCATGAGCTTCGCTTCTTTCGCTACGATTGGGCTGTTTCACGATACAGATGGATAGATGAAAATTGTCGTAATACAGTGTCTGGTTTCGGAACCGTAGAAAACTTGAACTTGGTCCATTCTTCGTCAGATGTCAAGGTGGCTAACAGCGTTTACATAAGCTAACTGAGACGCGGCCCGTTTACTAAATTACTCGCCCTGCTACATACAAAAAAAACTTCCATGGAGTGGAAATTTACTTTACTAATTTTTCAGCTGAAAGAAGTTGTATGGTGGACACCTCAATCGACTTCGATTCGATTGAGTGAGAAGAACATCTGTTACAACATTGATTTTTTTATAATAGCGTATTAAAATGTAGCCATCATTGGTGATTGAAACAAATTCTGTTGCTTGACCTCAGCGTTCTATTCTGAGTTCAGAGGTTCATGGCCACTTTGATTATAATTATTATTATTATTATTATTATTATTATACTTTATTATTTATAATTTTTCATTACAGTGAGGTTATGATTTTGTTATGAATATCGACTGGGTTTTCAATGGTTTCTTGGAAAATGAATGAAAATGAAAAATCTTTCATCCATATTGAGTTTGGTGGTAAAAGTTATCTTATTTACACATTACTTTATTAAGTGTTAACCTTTTCATAAATGAACCTAAAGGAACATTAAAGACATATTGGGTGTCTTGGTCTTCTTTTATTATAATCTGTGAAATATTCTCCATACTTAAACATAGAAAATGAAACTAAACAGAAGAGAAGTTATTTGAAGTTACTTCTTCTTCTAGATTTCATTCAGGAAACATATTTCCCAAGAGGACTTGAAAACTCATGTGATCACATCTAAGAAAGGTAGGCGTGCAGATGAATACTCTTTAAACATTCTAACATACGTTATTTACTAAAAGCAGGGAAATTTTTTCAATGATGTAAGTAATGGTAAGAATGTGATGTGTTTCTTAAAAAAAAAAAAATTTAGTCAATAAGTGTCAGTATGTGTTTCTGTATACATATGCACTCAAAAACATTACTGTGGTCATACACTATTTGTAAGATCCATGTTAGCTTTTGGCTACCTATTATAGTTCTGTCTAATACTCTGAGGTAGTATATGGTCAGTAGTATATACCACACAGGTAAATGTTGCTTTTTTTGCATACTGATTGGCAAAATCACATATTAGAGAGAATTCGTAACCATTTTTATGTAAACTGATAGAAAGAAACATTTTTTGGGGTTTCTGTATTATATTCACTAAATATATATATATATATATATTCACCTTCGTTTGGGTGAAAGTGGTAGAAATTTACTGAGCCCCCCTAACCACCACCATTCACCTTCAGTTCTGCATACATGTGTCAGCATATAACTGTTCACTGTTTGTCAGTTATATACAGAACCTAAATGGTGTCAATGATAGCAATTCAAGTCTTTGTCTGTATTTTTAATTTTTTAAGAAAAGATAGTCACAAAAAGTCAAAGTCTTTGCTCCTTACAACCAGAAAATGAAGCTCAAGAGGTGAGTTTTCCTTCTTTTCTCTTAGCTCTGGCATTAAATATATTGTAAAATGTAGAAATTGAAGGATGAAATTATATTTCTTTTTGCATGCAGATAAATTATTAATTTCAGTTACAAGAAATAAGGTCCTTTATTATATTTTGTATTAAACAAACCAACCAATTGCATACAAATACCTTGTGTATTATTTCAAGTAATTCAGGTTAGAAGAAAACAAATAATTCCTGTAGAGCAAAACTGAGTATGGTAGAGAAAATACAGAGCACATGTAACTGTTGATACAACTCCCACCATGGTGAAACATGAAAGACTTAATGTAATTGAGATTTCTTCATTTTTTATTATATCTCCTATTATTATATGAAATTTAGATTGCCAAGGGACATGGGACAATGACAAGTGTTTTACAAAGCAGACTTCTTAGATTGAAAGCAGCTCAAACACTTTGGCACAAGGTATTTGTTAATGATATATAAATTAAGACTATTTACCCACCCTATGCTTGTGAAAAATACACAAAATAGTGCCTTACTTTATATTAATAAATTTCTGTGAATAAACCAGTGTCTAGAAATAAGTTGGGTTTATTGTCCCATCAATGGTACCGTAAAAACCCGCAGATAAGCTGCACCCTCAAATAAGTCACACCCTGAATTTAGCTGCTCAATTTTAGAAAAAAAGTTTTTTGAAAGAAATCAGAAGAAATCTGAAGTCGAGTCTTGAGATGTCTTCTTCATTCACTGTTAATCAAAAGTAACTCACTTTTAACATTGCAATGGAAAATACTTCAAAGTCTTAATTTACCCACAATTTTAGCACTCTAATATAATGAACATCATTTCTACCAACTTTGACATATGATTGATCTTTCATAGGATCTTTCATATGATCTTTGATATGATTGAATTGTTGACTGGAATGTCTTCATTCAACACAGGTTTTTCCATAGATTTTTGCATTACAACAAGAACGGGAGCGGAACATTCAAAGCTTAGTAACCAGGCATTAGATTGGATGCGAAAGTGGACATTGGCGTTGACATTCACAACACCTTTTTCAAATGTTCCTGCAGATAAGCTGCACCCCCCAATTTCTAGCAACAATTTTTTAAAAAAAGGTGTGGCTTATCTGCAGGTTTTTATGGTATTTTGATTTTTCAGAAGAGAATCAGGGAGACCATTTTCTTTAAATCAATTCTGAGTCCAATTCCATTTTAACTAGTAAATTTACATGTAGGGTAAATTGTGGTTGATTCAAGCAGACTGCTTTGAAGGTGCAAAATGTAAACAAACTACTTGCAGTGTAAGAAAACTTCACATTCAAGTTCTGAGTGACAACAGACAAAAGGGCATTTTCAAATTTTGATCTATCAAAGCCTTGTGCATTCAGTGCCATTTTTATGGTCAAATTTAATGTACAGTGCATGTAGTGAGGCAATTTTTTTGTGTTTTGTTTTTGTCCAATAAGTTATATTAAAGTTCACATGGCAACCAGGTGGACAATCAGACATGGTTTGATGCTACTCTGGTTTACAGATTTAATGAATGTAACAAAAGAAGTTACAATTCACAAAGAAGTTACGATTATAAATGTTGGGTCTAGGAATTGTAACTTCTTCGGTTACATTCATTAAATCTGTAAAGCAGAGTAGCATAAAACCATGTCTGATTGTCCAATAAGTATCCTTGCTTTATGTTTTAAAACAGGACACCAATGCTTTGATAGAGTATCTCCTGCGGTAAGCTATGTGGCATGCAATTTACCTGGATGACTGTCGGGTCTTTGTACATTCCAACCCAGCCTCAGCACTTCAGCACCAAAATGATTAGGCAATTGTTCTGGTGTTTCAAGCTGTCATTAAGTAGACACTGCTTACCTAGTGTTTCAACTGATTTTTTCCTCTCTCTTGTCACTTGAATTTACATGGGCTCACTATTCACTGTTCACACCATTCAGATTGTGGCACAAGGGTATGTTGCAATTATGTACAAGTACAGATAAGAACTGCTGACATTTTGAGGTTTTGGTAAAGTCAAAATGCAGTGATATCTGTTGTTTTTCTGGGCATTAGTTCTACCATGTTATCGATGGTAGTATTGCATTTAGTGAGACATGGCATATAGTTACTATGCTTTATGGTTGCTCTTTTGGGTAAAAGCAAGTGGATAGTAGAGATACCTAATATAGTTTTTTTTTTCTGGTAGAGGCCAAAATGTTGTGAGAAAATAGGAAAATTCATATTCCACAAACCAACATTACCAAAATTGCAAATTGAAGTTACTAACTCTAAACTCAACTTGCAGTTACTAACTAAAGCCAACCAAAAACTTTGTTCACATTTCTAAATATGGCTAAAAGATGAAGTGGAGGAATAAGTAATAAATGTATATGAATTCTAAGATTCAAGATGAATGCAAATATTTAGTACATTTTATCATGATTATCTTACACTATACTTATCTACCCTAACAGACTGAGTCAGAAGATGGTTGCTTTTTAAAAAAAAAAAATTGTGGGATTTTATGTGGAATTTTAAAAATTATCACAAAAGCTTGAGAAATGGACTTTTGTTAACAAAGTTAAGGTTAACAGATGACTGTTCGATCTCAAGGATAATTAATTTCTTTAAAATTATCTCCAACATCCATGAGGGGCCTTTGATAAGTGTTCCATTGTTTACAGTGATGTCATTAGTAATGCATGTCTTCTAGTGTACTTTTCACCAAACTTCAGTGTGAATGTCTCCCAACCCTGGCTACTGAAAACCTACTAATCTCTACACCCACTATTGAAAATCTAGATTCTCCAGTTTGCCACCACAGCCACTAGCACATTAGTGTCAGATGGTGGTAACCCTAACCCTCCAGAGACACCTATGAGACTGATGAACAAGTTATCTGGGGTTTTTCTTTATTTGTATGCACTTCTAATCATTTAGGTTGAAAGATGATGCAGTGCTGGTTGACATCATGCCATTTCTGACATGCAGGTACATGTGTGTGGAAGAAAATACAAAACTGTTCTGTTAAGTAACTAGTTTTGCATGTGTGTTAATCAAATGCTGTGCATCTGCTAAGTAAGGTTGCCCTTTTTCTACTCAAGGTATGACACAGAGGCAAATGTGTCACTCCCTTGAGTAACACTGCAACCTTTTTTTCTATACATGGCAAATTTGTATGTCTTGTTTCTTTCCCTATAAAACATTTGGAACTAGCTGGGTTTTTTCATTGTAGAAACATGGGAATGCTATAGAAATAAAATTTTTTTATGCATAGCAAGAGGAGGAGGTCAGGGCATTAGCGGGGGTATATTGAGTCCACAGAAAGTTAGTTGTAGTTTTAGATGAAAACTTAATAAGTATATTTACAGTCAAATGAAATAAATAATATTTTGACCCCAGTAACATTTAAGTAGAGAAATGACACTGTAGAAAAGAAGTCTGAAAAGATTTTACTAATTGGTACTATGAGCTATAAAGGTACAAGTTGGGATCAACAACTCATGCCTTACAGGCCCTTACTAACAAAATGCCACTTGAAATCCTGAGATTACCTGTACTGAAAAGATTATGAAGATGTGGTGTTTTTAATGCAGAAACTTTGCAAATTTTGTTAAATTGTTATAAAGGCAACCTAAGGAAAGCCCACAGATAGCCTACACACTCTTTCCTTGTTTCCAAGGATTTGTTTTCAGATTTAGAGATGTTCTATTAGCCTGTGTAAAGCCAACTCATCTGACTAGAAAAATCAGGGAGTAACTTTCCTATTTCGTTGAGGGAAGTGGGCATGTGAAACAGTTGACATTTTATTTATTTCCTATTTTTTCAAGGCTTCAGAAGGGGTTTTCTATATTTCTTTATCCTTATCAGATAGATCTTTTTAAACTCTTTTAAGAAATGACAGTTTTCATACAGGCTTATGAACACAAAAATATCCTTGATATTTACTATTGTTCCTCAGTTCTTGTAGCCATGTCATGGACCAACTAAGCAAGATTGCTGAATAAATTTCTACAGAAAAAATTTACTACTCAATAGCTGTTGGTTGTTTGTTATGAATCGGAACTGGGCTGTAGAGCTTTCTTAAAAAATTCAGTGGTGTTTGTTGTCTTTCCTTCCTCAAAATATACCTTTTTGAGGTTCCACATCAAAAGGAAAGTACTGAACAATAATTGACTAGAAATTAGAAAAACAAATGGCTTTAAATTTATTCAATGTCATGAAAACATGTTTTTCTTGTCAGCAGAGTGCGTGATGTGTCACCCGAAGGACAGGCCTTGTCAATGGGGGCATGTCTAGAAATTTTACCTGCACTTGAGAGACTCCTTACATCTAAATTCGAAGAGTGAGTTATGGCGCCTATTCAGTGAACTCACTTGTTAGGGAAAGATTTATTTATGGTTAACCCCCAAAAATGTAATCTTTGCACATCCTCACACAGTTGTAATTTTCGAGACTTACCAAGGCATCTGATATTTTCTGAAAGGTTACCACTGGAAATGAAAATATGATGTAAAATGATTTGACAAATGAAAGGACTTAATTTTTAAAACTAGAGAATCACTACTATGCAGAAAAAAGGTTGTGAAAACATGGGTATTTCTAAAAGTCAATTTCATTTCATGAATAATAATTTAATAACTCACATTATGGAGAAGTACTTGCAATACATACTCAAAGTAGAAACAGTAGATGAAGGTCTTGTTTTCAAGTCACATGTAGTAATTACCATGAAGTAGGTAACAGGCATGCAAAGTTAGCTGAGTGGCTGTAAAGTGATTAGTGTTAAACTTTTATTCTATAGTTACGTTATTGCTGGACTGGACATGATCAGGGAAATGGTCAAACGCTGGTGGATGCAATTGAAAGCTGCAACAAGTAAAGGTGTGGAGCCAGAGTGGCAGAGATGCAGCAGGTAAATAAATTACTAGAAATTGTGAATGTTGTGAAGAGCTGTTCAGACAGTATTGATGCTATTCTTAAGACAAGACTTTCTTAGGCTGGAACTTTTCTATTTTACCTCAGGAGTGTGAGCGGCATGTACATGGCAATCGTTTCTCTTTCTGCCATCATTGTCAAAGTTTCTAAAAGAAAGGGACCAGTGGGCGAGAAAGCTCTCGTAAGTATTGTCGTATTGATACTAAGGGTAGGAGAAGAACAAAATAGCACTAATGAAGAAAGATGATTTTATGCCTGATAAGACATTCTGAGTTCTCAGAGTCTTACTATGAAGTGACTGATGTTAGCGAAGGGATATCGGTGACTGTGTATTGGGAATTTTTAAACGTGGACATAGGAATGCTGCATTTTTAGAAATGTTCTATCAACCTTCTGTAATTACACATTTTTCTCTGAAGCTTCCAATGATTTAATGATTTTAAATGATGAATTGATCAGAAGCAAAAAGAGATTGATGAAAAAGGAACACACTGTATAGTTTTCCTAATTTAATGTTCCGTTGATCTCCCAAGGAACAAGTAGTTGCGTGCTTTTCATTGACTACTCCCTGGGTTAGCAGGCCCTATACAGACATTCCGGGGTGTCTTCGCATTTCGTGACATCTCTTTTCTCGTCTGTTGTCTTAAAGTTAAGTTGACAGGGTTTTATCGTATGTTCATTCCTTACAGGTTGTCACCAGGCTGTTAGATCTACTATGAAACAGTGTGTAATTGGGTAGAGCGGTGATTAAATTGTACATAGGCTGATGAACATTGGAATGGTTTACACTGTTAACAAATGCTATTTATTTGTTGTATTTATTATTTATTTGTTCATTTTTATCTTATATTCTACAACTTGCGTGGTATCTGTTTTGACATGGATAATGTATTAAAAGATGTGTTAGATCTCAGTTCTGTCAATAAGTTATGTTTGAAATATGATATTTGACGTTTTTAATTTGAGCCTATACATTCACTCGGATCATTGACATTATTCAAAGCTTTCAAGTAGTTTTCACCCTTTAACTCCCATGAGTGATGATACAGAATTTTTCCTAACAATGTCACTAGAATATCAGGCAGACAAGGGATAAGAATAAAAAGACTAGAATACACTTATACTCTACAGGGTTAATTCATTCAGCTCTGCACGAGTTTTTACGAGTGGATGGACTGTTCAGCGAATGTGAGCAGAAGACTCGTTAGTTCGAAAGTAGTTACGCTTTTCACAGAGCTAGAAATCCTTGTAAAACACCGTAGTTTATACTAAACCATCAATGAGGTGTGGCGGGGACTAGCTATCGAGCACACCACGCCCGGCGAAAAGCACCAAGACTCTCGAATTGTCTTTTTCTGCCTTCTTTAACTACTCGGTTCTCCAGTACACAATCGAGGGTTTCGTCAAGTTACAAAACTGGGGCTGTTCCGGCGAACGTTTGGTCATTAACATTAACGCCGTCCGTTGGGACGGCCGAACAAAACGCTGCATGCTAGAATTTAAGTCTTAACTAATTAATATTCGAATCGGTCGTGTCAGTTGGTTAGTTGTCGTTCAGCAGTCGTAGAGTTCGGCCAAAAAAACAGTACCTTAAGTCGCTGCGTTTTCGTTTCGAATTTTGTGATACTTGTAGAATTTATCGTCGAAACACATTTTGGTCCTTCGAGCCGGATCAATTACAATTGATTCTTCGAATGGCGTCGAAAGTGGGATCCAAAACGCCCTCGGAAATCGGCAAAGAGGACATCGAAACATGGACTTCGCAGCAAATCGAGTATCTTCTTCGAAGATGGGCAGCGTCCAAAGGAGCCGTTACGAAGAGTTCATAGAAGGTAAATTATATTATTAGCTAGAAAGGTAGTAGAACGGTGCCACGAACCGTAAAGGAAAGAGTTTTTCAAGCATTACAAGATGCGAGTAAAACAACGCAAGACGTAATTGCCTTGCAAAGCGATGATGTGACTAAGCGAGCAGAATCAGGAGAATGGTTAGACAATTTGCAGAGCGAAGTGGAGGACAGCGTCGACTCTTGAGGAGTATTTAGAGAGCCGTGCAGATGAACCGCCATCAGTAATAGGACAAATTTCAGTGGTCGCCGATGCAGTTTGCAAAGTTGACGAAAAGGAAAGTCGGAATTCGGAGTCCGGAATCGTTTGATGATTCGCAAGTTGTCAGCTCAGCACAGAAGTTCGTCGAATTACTGTCGAAATCTGCTCAGTAAAAAGGGAATAAATCAGCTCCTAAATTCAGCAATAAAGATAATAAAAATAACTCGGAAGAGAAAGAAACTGAAGAAGACGAATCAGAAAAAGGCAAATTCGACTCGAAATATTTTGACAGATTGTTCAAAGGAATCAAGAAACCCGCTTTAACCGTCTTCAGCGGAGGTAAAGACCTTTATCACGATTGGAAAGCGAAATTTGAAATATTCGTGGATCGGATGAAAGTGCCAGCTAAAACCAAAGATGATGATGTTGAAGAATTCTCTGTCTGGCAAGCTATTAGGAGTTGGTGAGCGGTAAGGCTACACATCTAGACAATATCAAACTGCCTTGTAGAAATGAATGAAGGGGGTTTTGAGCGTTAGCCCTTCGTCAATCGCCACGGAAACGTCAGCTTTTTTACCCTTTACGATGGCCAATTTACGTTTTCAACTCAGTTGTTAACACTAAATTACCTGCCTTGGAGAAACTTGATGAGAAGTACGGGGGTGAAAAGCGACTTTTGCAACGTCACCTCGAAGCCGTTTTGCGTGCGTCTCCTGTCGAAGAGACTAACCTAAAGGAGTTGGAGATTTTCTCAGATCGTTTAACTGACGTTGTGGCTAAGCTTAAGGATAGCGACCAGCATCAAGAGTTAGCAGGAGTATCTGCACTTTACATCGCAGTGCAGCAAAAGTTATCAGAGTCTCCTCTTATCGCGTACCAAGAGTGGTTGCACAGGAAGGATGGACTATCCGTATTTTCTAAATGGTTACAGAAGCAAGTAGTTTATCGTATGGACGTCGAAGAAGTTAAGGAGCGAACAAGGAAAAAGAAAGAAGATAATATCGGGTCTAAGAAATACAAGTGTGAGAAAGGAACAATTCACAACTTTACTGGTGAGCCCATACCCAAATGTGTTGTCTGTCATGGACCTCACCAAGTAACCTCATGCAAGAACCGGAGTGAAACATCCATTGCGAATAGATAGGAAATCGCAAAAAAGAATGAACTTTGTTATCGTTGCTTGAGATCAGGCCATCAAGGGAATAATTGTCCGGAAAACAATCGCTGTGGTATCAATGATTGTAGAGGCACCCATCACTTCCATCTGCACTTCGTACGTCGATCTAATCCACCTGAACGTGTAGACACTGCTGTAAAAACACGAAGCGCTTTCGGCGACTCTGAGTTTGCAGGGGATGTTATATTGCGAACAGTTTTTGTATGGCTTATAGGCCCGGAGGGTCAAAGCATCCAAGTCAATGCCTTCTTAGACGACGAGTCAGATGATTCAACTTACGTCAGAGATGACATCGTAACAGCCCTTGGCCTCGAGACTGATGAACAAACCCTCAGATTGACAACCTTGAAAGACAGTTGTATTCCTCTCAAAAGCAAGAAAGTCCCGCTGACGATAAAGAGTCTCAATGGGGAGACTCAATCTACTGTTGAAGCATGGACACTGACTGAAATGTGTCAAGGCTTGTCTATTCCAGACTGAAATCAGCACAAGGTCAAATGGGAACACCTAAAAAAATTCCATTTCCTAAAGCCTCTGAAAGGAAAACGATTGACATTCTGATCGGATCAGACCATCCTGATCTTACGTTAGCCTTGACAGAATGTTATGGTCGAATTGGAGCGCCGGTAGCAAGAAAAACGCTATTGGGGTGGACCTGTGTTGGACGTTTACCCGCCCTTTCTTCAGCTAAAAGGGTTGCCCACGCCAGAACCTTTCGGATCCAGACCTTGTGCGAGACCCGTCTCGATGAACAACTACGAGGAATGTGGGAGATCGACTCACTTGGAGTTAGAAATTCAGACGATAGTCAGTTGAATCAGGAGGAGATCTTAGCTATGTCAAAGGTCGAAAAGTCAAGACGATGGATCGTGGGCCGTTACGAAAGGAAGAGTTGCCCTCCTTACCTGACAATAGAGAAGAAGCAGAGAAACGTTTGTTCTCTTTGGGAAAAAACACCTCAAGAAGCCAGAAGTTGCGAGACGTTGCAAAGAAGCAATGAATGCGAATGTCGAGAAGGGCTACATTCGGCAGTTAGAATCTTACGAGGCAGAGGACGGTCCAAGCTGGTACCTTCCACACTTTCCAGTGAGACCATTGATGTACGCATAGTATTTGACTCGGCTGCACGTTGCAAGGGCGTTTCCTTGTATGATGCGATGCTTACTGGGCCTAAACTTCAACGAGATGTCCTGGAGATACTTCTACGATTTAGACTGAGACCTGTCGCCCTAGTAGCGGACATCAAGGAAATGTTTCTCCAAGTGGTCCTCGCTGAGAAAGCCCGCAAGTATCACAGACTGTTATGAAGAGATCTCGATCTCACAAAGCCTGTGGATGTCTATGAAGCAGTCCGTTCAACCTTTGGAGACAGAGCATCCCCTTATCTAGCCCAGTTCGTGCTTCGCAGCCACGCCCTAGAATTTAAAGAGAACTACCCAGCAGCAGCTATGGTCCTGCTTCGAGATATGTACATGGATGATATCTTTCACTCAGAAGAAACTGTAGAAGACGTCGTTCTCGTCCGTGAAGAATTGACAAAGGTCCTGGGCAGCGCTGGTTTCCATGCCCAAAAGTGGTGTAGTAATCGAACAGAGCTTCTAGAAGAAATCCCACAAGAGGATCGAGCAACTGGAGTAAAGCTTGACAACTCAGAACTACCAAGTGTCAAGACATTAGGAGTCCGTTAGAATGCGAGTAAAGCTGTTGTCACGTTTGTTATCAAGGAAGTCATCCTGTCCTTTTACACGAAGCGGTGCCTGATAAGTCGTATTGCTACACTGTTTGATCCATTGCAGTTCTTGGCGCCATACATCATCAGAGCAAAAATGGCTTTACAAGAAGCCTGGTTGCGAGGTCTTGGATGGGATGAAGAGTTTCCTGACGATTTAAAGTTGATCACTCGTCAGTGGGCCAAACAGTTGCCTGAAGCTCTACAGGCCATAATCGCACATTGCTATCGACAGCACGAGGAAGCAGTGGAAGACGTCTGAATTTAGACATTCGTTGACTATGCCGCAGTAAGCTGTGCCAGATACGAACACGTGAGTGGACAGATCCCAGTCGCCCTAGTGACAGCAAAGTAAGAGTAACACCGATTAAATCCGTCGGCATCCCACGCCTTGAGTTAATGGCACCAGTACTCGGAGTGCGGTTAGCCGAAACGGCCTCTGAGAAGCTAGAAATTCCACTAAGTCAACACACCCTGTGGACAGACAGTATGGACGAAATCTACTGGATCCAGGGTCACTCAGGGTCACTCAAGACGACTGAAGTCATTTGTTGCTAATCGAGTAGCCGATTCAAATTCAACGGAAATCGGACCCAGCTCAGTGGCGACATGTACCAGTAGAATAAAACCCCGCTGACGACGCAACAAGCGGCCTGGACCTGAAAAACTTATCCACTGAAAGTTGCTGGTTCCAAGGACCTGCCTTGCTACTTGATGAGAAGACATCCTGGCCCAGGGTTGGATACAGACTAGTGCAACTAGTTTCCAGAAACTAGTCAGAATAGTTAAGACATTTTAAAAACCATAGAAAACCATGCCAGAAGACGCCAATTCGTCCCAGGTGTTTAATTATAATGCAGAATTTGTTAATTCCAACTGCACTGCATTTTTTGCCAGCCTCCAGCGGACCAGCACCTTGAGTTTCACTGAGCCCAGTCTTCACCCCTCCCCCTCCCCCTCCGTAGATCTCTGCTCAATGTGTGCACTAGTGCAAATTTTCTATACCTTGACTGTGCTCTGTTCTGTTGTTAATGATATACATTAAAAATTACTCAGTTTTGATTGGTTGAGATAAATGCAGTTTTCAGGTAATTCAGAGCAGAAGGGGGTTAATTTAGTGCAAAGGCAGTAATAAACCAGACATTCTAACTGGTCAATAATCAAAGAAACTCACAGATAACCAATCAAATGGAGCCTTAGACGTTGCAACAAAATTTGAAAATTTGAAAAATTGCGAACGAAAAACAGCTCTAACAACGAAAACACTGCTAAAAGCACTGCTTTTTGGTTGTCGTTTTGGAAAAAGTGGTGTTTAGAGAAGGGAATTGCCCATGAAATCGAAAATTACGAGCCGACCCGGCTTAAAACTTTGCTCAAGCGATTCTACGCCGAAATTAAAAACAAACATGGTTAAACCTCGGAAACGACGATTCCATCTCACTGAAAGTGATTCGGACACAGACTGAACAATTCCTTGAACTGTTTATGCACGCATTCTGATTGGTTCTCACTTATGATCTATTAGAGGACAGACGCATAGATGACGTCATCATTAAAACTTTTGCTCTCTGTTATTCTAATATGGAAAGTTTTGAAAATTTAGACGATATTTTACCTGACTGGGTGAGCGAAGATTTCGAAAAAAGTCTTATCGAGGCTGTGGACAGTTACGATAAACAGGAGAAAGAAAGAAAATCACGTTTCTATGTCGAAAACGACTTGACAAAACTACTTGAGCTGTCGCAGTCGAACGCGACTAAAAGAAACACAAAATGGGTAGTGAAATTATTTCAAGGTAAGAAGCCATTGCTTTGCTTCGAAATTAACTAACTCAATAAGCAAAAGTTGTCTGAGATTGATTTATTTGGAAAAAAAAATTCTTTTCTCAATGTCAAAATAATTGTTTACACAGATTGGTGTCAGGAAAGAAACATCACAACACCACTTCTTAAAATGAACAGTAAGGAATTAGACCAAAACCTAGCAAGATTTTATGTGGAAGCCAGAACAAAACTAGACCCTATGATCAGGGTAACTGGGATACCTGGATGGTACTGGATCCTTGTGTAGTGATACTACGCGAGTCGGACTATTATACTGAAATAGTGAGCTCAAGTCTGGCCAAGGGTATACACCTGTCTCAAAACATAGGCATGCTATGAATGCAAGAGTTATTTTTTGTAGGGTGGGTGGATTACTTGAAACATTGTAAGTGATGTCTACATTCTTACAAAAGGAAAGAAGAGTATTGACGCGGAAAAAACTATTTGTAACTGGGATACCTGGATGGTACTTGATCCTTGGAATCAAGTGTAGTGATACTACGGGTGTCAGACTAGTATACTGAAATAGTGAGCTCAAGTCTGGCCAAGGGCATACACCTATTTCAAAACATAGGCATGCTATGCATGCAAGAGTTACTTTTTTGTAGGGTGGGTGGATTACTTGAAACATTGTGAGTGATGTCTACATTCTTACAAAAGGAGAGAAGAATATTAATGTGGGAAAGAACGAAAATGTCGAATTACCCTACTCACAGGTATTTTGTGGTAGATTATGTGTGTTAATAAATAAATGTAACCAAAAAGAAACTGTATTGGTGCCACGGATACCTGTTAGTACAAAATGCAGACAGTAGACTGCAGACCGAATACAAAATATAGACTGCAGAGTGGGTACAAAATGTAGACTAAGAGTCTGAAGAGTTTTTACGTCTGGTATATAATAACATGTCATCTTACAGCTCACCGAGCGTCACGCAATCGCTTTTCTGCGATCCGCCTTCACGATTATTTGCACTATTGTGGAATATTCCTGGCCCATTTCTTGATGAAAATCAATCGCAATATTATTCCAAGCCTTCAATATAGTCTTCTTACTTTGCGCGCGAGATTGTTGGTGTGATGTCTGTACAGATTTTACCAACGTAATAAAAGTAGATGACGTGAATAACAGTGATGGTAAAGCAAGCTTAAAACGGCACAAATCGCCAAAAAATACAACGGATACACAGGGTATGCGTAAGTTTTATTGATTTTACGAGACAAAATGTTCATATTTCGAAATATGTATCGTTATAAATCGACCATACTTCGTTCCCTATACTATTCCTTATAATGTGCAGTTCCTCTCGTAACTTAACATCGAGTCACACAACGCGTGACGCGTTCATGAATTAATCGTTGGCTTTTTCTCGAGACGTAAGCTTGGGCCACCTGGGACAAGACACTTGCGTAAACAATATTCAACATAATAACATTATACACAAAAAACACAGGGTTTTAGATCACGTATTTATCAAAAAAGAATATCCATACAACTACAATGAAAACAAACATAAGATTCACCTTTCTGATCGTGAAATTAATACCATTCGTACTGTTATCGTAGCTACGTTCCTTGCCATCAAGTGAATCCAGCATGTCTTTCTTCACAAGCAGTTTGCATCCATTATAGTTATGTTCTTCAGTCTCACGGTAGTAGTGGTGTTCAATAGATTGCATAGAGTATATGCAGTTTGGTTCCAGATTTCAGATTTTGTTTTTTACAATAAGTGAACGTTTTTCAACTAAGACATTGGCATACTTAGCATACAAGGCATTCAAAAATTTCATGGCTTTCAAGCGTTCGCGACTCAATCCGTTCCAAAATTACCGCTCAAGAACATCTTTCAGTGTGGATTAGCCGCGATTAATACGACTTGTATATGCGTCTGTAAGTATTTTGCGCGTTTGCGCCACAATGCTCTAGGAGATCGCAATCCAAATACGTTGAAATACAAAACAACTGACCAAAGAGTTTTATAAGCAAAATCTCGTGATTCGTCATGTGACCCGGCCCTGTCTGTGCATGACAACGTCAATCATCATCAAGATAACACGCGTAATCAGCATGTGAACACCTCATTGGATCACAGTTAGTTGTCATGGTGTTGAGGTATAACACGCGTGATCAGCATGTGAACACCTCATTGGATCACAGTTAGTTGTCATGGTGTTGAGGGCCCAATGACCTCTGGGTACTATTGCGCAATTTTTCCATTTTGTGGCGGAGGAAAAAAAAAAAACCAAAAAAAAAACAAGTGCTTGTTTATTCCAAATTGCACGAGAAAAATCATGTGATTACCTGTTAATAATATACATGGAAAAATACGAGATGGTCTATCATAATTAAACATAAGCAAAGCGCGCGCATCAAGTGCAAAAAATAATTTATTCAAACCGTGCGTTTGGTCAAGACAACTGCGTACGATCAAAACAATAATATGCAATGATATCTTCGCATCTTTGAGGTGCAAAAAAGTTCAAAGTCCGGCTAAACAGTTCAAGGAATTGTTCAGTCTGTGTCCGAATCACTTTTGATGAAATGGAATCATCATTTCCGAGGTTTAACCATGTTTTTTTTTTAATTTCGGCATTGGATCGCTCCAGCAAAGTGTTAAGCTGGGTTGGCTCATAATTTCCGGTCTCCTTGGCAATTCCCTTCTCTAAACACCACTTTTCCCAAACTGACAACCAAAAAGCAGCGCCTTTTACAGTGTTTTCATTGTTTAAGCTGTTTTTCAGCTGCGGTGGCGAAAGAAAACCTACATAAAACGCCGGCCATTGTTTCGCTCGCAAATTTTCAAATTTTCAAATTTTGTTGCGACATCCAAGGCTCGCATTTGATTGGCTATCTGTGAGTTTCTTTGATTATTGACCAATCAGACTGTCTAATTTGTTTCTTTCTTTGCACTGAATTAACCCTCTTCTGCACTGAATTAACTCTCTTCTGCACTGAATTACCTGAAAACTGCATTTATCTTAACCAATCAGAACTGAGTAATTTTTCCATGTATATTATTAACATGGTTATATACGCAGAGGATTCTGTTGTGTTCACGTGAGGGCCATTTCAGCTATTCCTGCCACTTATAAGATGTAGGCAATAAAAATATGCATACTTGTTTCGTATTGAGGCCCTGCGAAATCAAAAATATGATTTATTTCTTCTTTGTTTTTGTTTGGGCCGACTAGCGTTTTGCAGTTTCGCTTTCGCCCAGTGAGTTGTTAATTTAGGTTCTCGTTCTCAGTTTAGGTGTACGAAGATCAAGTCAAAACAGCACGCAATGTCAAATGGTGAATATGTTTAAATTTAAAAAAAGGTTTACTCAATCATGGAATGACTTGTATTGGTGCGGCTACGCGTAAAAGAGTTCTCTGCATATTGTCCCCAACATCAGTAAAAAATATTTCTCTCTAAATATTTGATGGCAAGTGGATTTCGTCGAGCGATGGATGCATCAAATCGGTTGGATTTTGGCCTCGACAGTGGAACGAATATCGATGGTTTCAACCACGCTGGAGATGGAATGGATCGTGGATTGCCTGATTTTCCTATCCAGTTTCCTGGTACATCGATGGTAGAAGGTAACGTTAGTTCTGGTTGTACCACAACAGATGTGTTCGCTTGGCCATTAAGTTACGGTGGCTCTTCGCTCAGACCCAGGCCCCCACCAAGCACCCGCATCGATTTCGAAGAATTGGTAAAGGGACTCTCGGGAGCGACGCAGCACAGCCATGCTGTGGACAAATGTTTGCAAGGGAATTGAAAATTTACTGAAGGTAATTCCGTCCAAACTTCATGCAGGCCAAAGCCCAGAAGTAACCAAGAAAATTATTGACTTTCTCGCGGAAAAGTGGAAGGTACTGGAAGCGCTACACACGAAATAACTTTCTGGAATAAATGAGAGAAAGCGCTTAGAAGAGGTACAGAATCGTTATTCTAACCTGAAACGTAGTACACATGACGTCATTAATGAGTGCGAAGGTTTCTTGCAAAAATTGGGCTCTCCACCTGGAAAGGTTAGAATGGATCCTGGACTAACAGACCAGGACGTGGAACGTGATGACAATGTGTCAGTTTACTCTAAGTCTTCTAGTGGATCCGGATCATCACGTAAGAAATCGCTGAAGAGGGCGCTTGTCTCGAAAATGAAACTGGACCTGGCAAGGGCTAAGGCAAAGGAGGAAGCTGAAGCAGCTCGAATGACATACGAACATAAACAAAGAATGGAACTTAGGCGCCTAGAAGAGGAAGCATCATTAGCTGCACAAGAATGGAAGATTGAAACAGAGTACAATGATGAGGGAGGTCTGACAGCTGGCGCTGCTAATTCCTTGGATGCTACCACGTTCCTGGTTGATAAGAGACCACATTCTACTCCGGTCACTTCTGACAAAATTGAGGCCAGTGTATCTGAAGCAAACCCAGGACCGTATCCCAACTGAACCCTTGTACAGAAACGTCAGCCACCCCAGTGTCGGGAATTTTGAAGCCTCGGGACAGCATGAAAACTCAACCGAAGTCATCCCTTTCAAGGATAGAGTTTAATGTCCCCAAGACCCTTGACAGCGTGAAATCACCCCAATCCTTCAGAGTACCCAATGTCCAACAATCACAGAGGGCTACTTGTGGCGGCCACGCTCCATATGATCCTGTCGCAGCAATGTGGAAGGCTCAAATGCTGGGTGGTATGCAGCCAACACGGTTTAGTGGGAATCCAGTGGATTTCCCCTTCTTTCGTGACCAAATGCGTACACATCTTGAAAGTGATTTGCTTACTGATGCCCAGCGTGTTGAATATCTCCCCAAGTTTGTTACTGGAGAAGCTTTGGAAGTGATAAAGCGAAACAGAGGCTGTTCATTTAACGACAGCATGAAAACCCTTGAGGAACGCTTTGGCCAAACAATAAGGGTAACTCAAGCATGCATAGAAGATCTTGTAGCTGGGCCAAGGCTGACCTATGGGGATAATATTGTACTCATGAACTTTTCTGAGAAGCTGAACACAGCTACAAAAATTCTTCAAGGCGACATTGAACGTGAAGCAAACGTCGCAACAAACCTCAAGCGTATCGTTAGCCGTCTTCCTAATGACCTGATCATCAAATGGCAAAACGAAAACTATGAGATTATTAAGAGCGGAAGGTCTCCTCGGCTGAAGGACATTGCTGCCTTTGTGAAGAGACAAGCGTCCATTAGAAACGACCAGGTGTTCGGAGGTCAAATGTTGAAGCGAGAGAATAAAGAGCCCAAGGCGCCTCCCACACCTCCAATAAGGAATCCCACAATTGGTACCACGGATCTTGGATTTAAACCTCCCGCCCCTGGCTTGAGAAGCTGCGGAGTCTGCAAGTCTAAGCATCATAAACTTCAACATTGTCCCATAATCAAGAAGTGCGAGCATGTTGCAGTCCGAAGACAGTATGCGGCCTCCTGCGGCGTTGAAAAGCCTGGGTATGGTTCTAGCTCGTGCCCTGAACCGCCCGCATGCTCAAAATGCCCAGGGCGTCACCTAAGTCTTCTGCATACTGACAAAGTTCAGGATGGCCGCCAGAAGGAAGTTCGAGTCCCTGAAGATGCAAGGAAAGGACTTTATGGTTGTCGTTACCCCCTTGGTTGGTGTGTTTGCGGTTGCTATGGTAGCAAGAATCCCCCGTAAACTTTGTTTCAGTTGATCACAAGCCCGTTGATCTCATTGAAAGATTCTGGAAACTTGAAGATCATGGAGCAGTTAAGTCGTGAGTAAGGCCCCTCTCGATTGAAGACAAGAGAGCGATGCAAATAATTGAAGACACCACACGTCTTGTAGATGGACGTTATGAAGTGGGCATGCTTTGGAAGAAGGATGAGCGCTGGTTTCCAAATAATCTTGTCATGGCCAGACAGCGCTTAGAGTCCCTGAGACGTCGCCTGACAAAGTCGGGGAATGAAGAGATGGCCATCAAGTATCGTGAAGTAATGGACAGTTACATCAGAAGTGGATTTGCTCGCAAGTTGTCTGAGAAAAAATTAGCTAAGGAATCCAGTACTCATTGGTATCTCCCACGTCACCCTGTAACTTCTCCTACCAAGCCTGGAAAGGTGCGTGTTGTTTTTGATGCGGCAGCCGAATATGAAGGAACTTCTCTTAACGAAAATCTGTTGAGCGGGCCAGACATGACCAACAGTTTAGTCGGTGTCCTCCTGCGCTTTCACCAAGGTACGATTGGTATTGCCGCAGACATTGAAGGAATGTTCCACCAGATTCGTGTGTGCGAAGAAGACCAGGATTCATTGAGGTTTTTATGGTGGACAAATACCTATGAAGCCCCACCTGACGTTTACGTTATGCAAGTACATATATTTGGAGCAGCATCTTCGCCTTGTGTTGCTAACTCCACCCTTCGGCGAGTTGCCGACGACATTGCTCAGGACTTCAGCCCCAGTGTCATTGCAGCTATAAAAGGAAATTTCTGTGTTGATGATGCTCTCCCTTCTGAGAACGATGAGCAGTCAGCCATTCATCTGGCCCGAGATATGGTCGACGTCCTTACCCGAGGTAGTTTCAACCTGCCTAAGTTTACATCAAATTCGAAGGAGGTGCTTAAGACAGTTCCAAGTGACAAACTGTCCAACCAAAACCTCAACCTCGATCTGGAAGACCCGCCCGTTGAAAGAGCACTGGGGATACTTTGGTTCGTTGGAGATGATACTTTGGTTCGTTGGAGATGATACTTTGGTTCGTTGGAGATGATACTTTGGTTCGTTGGAGATGATACTCTTGGTTTCAAAATAAGGCATCTTGGCCGCCCTGAGACTAAACGTGGCGTCCTGTCTACTGTTTGTTCCCTGTTCGATCCGCTGGGGTTCGCTGCACCTGTAGCACTGGCTGCAAGAAGTTTGGTGCAAGACCTGTGGAAGGCTTATGTTGGATGGGATGAGCCTCTGGGTGAAGAGTTTCTGTCAAGGTGGAGGTCGTGGAAAACTCAACTACCTTCCTTGTCGCAGTTGCGTATTCCGCGATCCTATTTTCTGCGAGATGGCGACCCGCAAGACTGTAAGTTGCAACTCCATGTCTTTTCAGATGCCTCAGAAGTCGGATACGGTGCATCGTCCTACCTACGAGCTGAGTACCCGGATGGTCAGGTTCATTGTACCGTTATCAAGGGGAAGGCTAGGAATGTACCAGTGAAGTTTGTTAGTATTCCCAAACTAGAATTGCAGGCAGCAATACTTGCAACTCGCATGTGTAAAATGCTGCGAGACGAATTAGATCTAAACATTGACAGGACATTGTTGTGGACTGATAGTGAGATAGTGTTGCACTATCTAAAGAATGAGAAACGAAGACTTCAAACCTTCGTAACCAACAGAGTTAAATAAATAAAGGAGCACACACCCGTGCATGATTGGAACCATGTGCCAGGGACTTTGAATCCCGCAGACTATGTGTCAAGGGGATTGACCCCATCTGCTCTGACTGTTGATCACAGCTGGCTTCGTGGACCTGAATTCCTGTGGGGACCAGAACATTCCTGGCCGAAGCAAGAGTGTAGAACTGTGCTTCGTGAAGATTTGGAACTGAAGAAAGAAACTCATGTGCACTCTCTGGAACTGAACCCCGATTCAGTTGTGGCGAAGAAAGGGAACTCGAAATTTGAACCCATCAAAGATCCTATGGATGATCCCTTCCAAGTGCTTGTGACAACCTGCTCTGATTGGACCCGCCTTAGACGCAAGGTAGCGTGGCTCTTACGATTTACGCAGCTCATTAAAGATAAAGGAAAGGTCCAGACTGGAAAGTTGACTGTTGATGATTTGAATGCAGCTACATTGGCTATCGCAAGGATTGTTCAGGGCTCAGCATATGCACAGGAGAGAAAGGATCTGAAGTCGAATGGTGCCATCAAAATATCAAGCAAGATTGCAGCCTTGAATCCCGGATTGGATGCCCAGGGAGTACTAAGAGTCAATGGACGTGGCCAGCGAAGAGTATCTGAATCTACCATGGGCCAGAAAATCATTCTGCCCAGGAATCATTCTGTAGCCGAGAGGATTGTTCGTCACGTCCACCATTTCATTGGTCATCTGGGGCGTAAGCACGTGATAGCTAAGTTGCGGGAAGACTTCTGGATTCCTCAAATCCGCGTTCTAGTTCGCTCGGCCCTTAACCGATGCGTCAGGTTCAAGAAAGTCCTCGCTAAACCCACGAGCCAACAGATGGCACCTTTACCAGAGGCACGCCTCATGGCATATGAAACACCTTTCTCATACACTAGTATGGACCTTTTTGGCCCCTTGCATGTCAAACATGGCCGAGGAACCACAAAGCGTTGGTGTTGTCTCTTTACCTGTTTAACTACCCTTGGTGTGCACCTGGAAGTTGTTAACTCAATGGACACAGATGATTTCGTCATGTGCTTGAGGCGCTTCATCAATCGTAGAGGCGAAGTGAAAGAGATTCGTTGTGATAATGGCTCTAATTTTGTGGGAGCTCAGCACGAGCTAAAGGAGAGTCTCGAGAAATGGAATCAGGGGCGGATTGAGAGTGAGCTTATACAACATGGCTGTAAATGGATATTTCAGCCCCCTACCGCTTCGAGTATGTCTGGCGTGTGGGAACGTTTGGTTCGTAGCGCGAAGACAGTCATGAAGGCTATCTTGGGTGCACACGTGGTCACAGACGTGGTCTTGCAAACGCTGCTCACCGAGGTCGAGCGTGTTTTGAACGGCAGAGCCTTAACCGCAAACTGTGATGATCCCAGCGACTTTGAGCTGCTAACGCCTGGACACTTCCTTATGCAGCGCAAAGTTATTTTTTTACCACCCGGAGTCTTCGACAAGTCTGACATGTATAAGAAGAAGTGGAGGCAAGTTCAATATCTTGCCAATCAGTTCTGGGAGAGGTGGCTTAAGGAGTATTTA